AAAAAAAAAAAAAAAAAAAAAAAAAAAAAAAAAAAAAATATACCGACGAATTGAATACCTCCTTCTTTTGGGAAGTCGGTCAAAAATCAATGTCGTTACCTTCTCGACCTTAGTGTGTGAGGTGTAACTATCAATCACTTGGCCATGGTAAGAAGCCAATGACGCGACGTCTTGACTCTAGGGTTGCCAACTTTAAGAAAATGCAGTCCTGATTACTGGCAACGAAATTAAATTTTAAATCTTGATTTTTTAGCGTAGGAAGAAAAAACTCTAATGCGAGAAGCATTAGAGTTTAACATCTTTAGTGAACAACAAAATATTATAAATCCTGTGATTTTTCGAGGACGTATCTAATGCGTATTCCGTTTGCATCTTGCAAATACAGAAAATTAGGATTATAGCTTAAGAATTGACAGCCCTACTTGACCCCCGCCATTCATTCCTCTGAATACAGTGTATAGAAAGATCGAAAAAAAATTACGTCTCTTGATGAGTAATAATTTATTATTTTTACTTTAAAATTAGTATTGTACATATTGTCGTATGTTAAATATGATTAAAAATGACTATTAGTGTTCATTAATCATACTAATTTTATAAATACGAAAGTTTAGATGGATGGATGGATGTTTGTTGAGTTTGTATCCTAAACGGCTGAACGGATTTCAATTAAATTTGGTATGGATTTAGAAGATAATCTGGAAGAAGATAGGCTACTAACTTTTCTATTTTTTTTTATTTTACGCGGACAGAGTCGCGGGCGAAAGCTATTTATTAATAAGCAAATAGAGTTACTTTTGATGTCATTTAACTTGTAAGCACGTCTAGCTTTTATGTAAAATATTTAATATACAAACCTTAGTCGCCGTTTTTAAAACTTTTGACTATATCGTTGGCAATATGAAAGAATGGATCGATGTAGCTATCTCGAGTCATTCGAGTGGCTCTTTGAAAATTGTTCGCCAAAGTAAAATATAAAGAATTAATGCCGGTAATTCGTAATGTGATATTTAATTTTGAAATTGCTTCAGCGCTTTTATTTGTGGAATTTTTATAAAGCGCAAACTTTGGCTTTTGTTAGAATTCTATTTTGTAATATCGTTACGGTGTAAAATATTTTGGGGGTAAATATTTGTGGTCAAGTTTCCACTGAGTTCGACATACTAAATATTTGAAGTGAAAATCAGATGTTTACGAAATACTAGGGGTAATTTTTTCCTACATTTCTAGGGTTAGTTTGCGTACATAACAATAGAGGGCAAATTGCGTGAGGAACATCGAGGTGATGATCATTGCCACCTATGATCCGAAAGAGTACGGTAGATTTCTTGTCGGCTTTAGAAAAGACGAAAATGGTCTGATATAACTACGTCCATAGAACGCATCTCATCTTGTTTGACATGTAAATTGCAGTGAGAGGATTCTCTTTCCAGGGATGGTGTCGTCGCCGATTTGGTCACAGATGCGACGCAACAGCGAAAGGTTTTAGTCTATACAAGTCTGACATAATCCGTATGCGATACATGAAGGACGATACATCTGTTACAACATATTAGAGTTTTTTAAAGTTGAAACTAATTCAAATCTTACTAATCTTAACTTACTGATCAGTAAGTTTATCATCTGTCCTATCTTACTAATATTATAAATGCGAAAGTTTAGATGGATGGATAGATGGATGGATGGATGTCTGGTAGAGTTTGTAGCCTAAACGGCTGAATAGATTTTGATGAAACTTGGTACAGATGTAGATGATAGTCTGGTAGAACACATACGCTACTCACTTTTGTTTTTTTTTAATTCCACGCGGACGGAGTCGCGGGCGAAAACTAGTAATTATATTTTAATTATCTTATCTTATTTTTCTTATTAATATTATAAATTCGAAAGTTACGATGGATGGATGGATGTTTGTTAGGCTACAAAAGCCTAAACGGCTGAACAGATCTCCATGAAATTTGGCACAGGTTTAGAGCATAGTCTGGAAGAAAACTTAGGCTACTTTTTATCCCGGGAATAGTAACGGTTCCCATGGGATTCATTAAATTAGTTTTTTAATGTTTATTCGATCATTCTGCAACGGTTCGACATATCTTATTGAAATTTGGCACAGATATAAAACAAAGCCTGGAGTACACATGGGATTAGGGTTTATCCCCGAGAAAGGTCCGGTTCCCGAGGGATACGTAGCTTTTTATCACTTCTATAGTTCGTATGTTTTGTAATACCACGCGGACGAAGTCGAGGGCAACAACTAGTAATATTATAAACGCGTAAGTTTAGATGAATGGATGTTTGCTTAAGTTTGTAGCCTAAACTGAGGAACGGATCTCGATGAAATTTGGCGTAGATGTAGAGGATAGTCTGGAACGCATAGGTTACTTACTTTTGATTTCTTTTATTTCCCTCGGACAATCTCACGGGCGAAAGCCACTACTTTAAAAACTGTATAAAGTACGCATTTATTTAAATAATCTTTGGTTTATAATACATGATTTTTTTAGAATCTTTAGCCTATACTTTCATATTATATCTGCACTAAGAGTGATTTTAGTCGGCAACATTTGAAGGACATTGATATTTCCCAAAAAATGTTTTAATTTTTTTTTTAACATTTACCTCTTAATGTATGTTTAATGTTAACTAAATCATGACTAAAATATTACATTAGTGACCCTTCTTGTTGAATCTAATAAAAGTATGCATTAGCTAACCTAACTTTGAGGTGAGCTGAAAGCGGATTCATGTTACGTTAAAGTACCACCACATTATTCATGTAAACTTTGCTGTGATTCTTTTTGGTAAAAGGGGAAATAAATATATACTACCGAATTTGTGAAGTCGTCGAAAATATCTACATTGTTGTTGCATTTTCTAATTAAGCAAAACTGTAAAATTACTATGCAAAAGTTCTAGGTAAACGTAGCCGAAATGTTTTGCAATATTAGAAGCATATGTTACATTCTGGGTTAAGTTTAAAAGAGAGCGCACACCAAAAACTAAATTCTCGCACAACTGTTTAGTCCATCTTTGATTCCTACGTGCTAATAGAATGGTACGTACACTATTCGATTTTTAGGTGTGAAACTAAACAGTTGAATTGGCTGCGAAACAATCGACAATCGCACAACCTGTGTGCGATAGTTTACTCAAAGTAGTGCGCCCGCTCTAAAGTATATAGAGAACATCGATTGTTCTAAACTTTAAGTTGACATCTGGTAACAACACAACTAATTTTTAACTTTCACGTGTTTTCTAATAAAAAAGGTAAATAACTAATGTTATGCCACTGATATGTTATTTTCATTATGCAATTACAATAATATCATGATTTCTTTAAATCTACGCGACATAACCACTAAATAACCAATGAAAATTCTTGCATAATTTTAATAAACTCCTTACATGTGACAACGGTTTTTTATTCATGATTGTGTAATGTAAATAAAATAATCAAAGCGTACATATTCTTTAATACAACCGCAAATGCACAATAAAGTCAACGCACTACTAACAAGGGAAAAATGCTTTAATTTTAAACACTCGTACACGAATGGAATATCGAAATCAAGTATGAAACTATGGGAGTTCATTAAGGGACTTCGTTTTGCTTTATAATTCTTCATTACTGGTTCTGAAATGTAACTCCAATGTTAATGTCACAACGCCCCTCGTTTATGCCACTCTATAACCCTTTCATATCTACAGTGTACTAAAAACCTGACTAAACACGCACTCACTATCTCTATCGCTGCCTTTAGGAAATACGTAATAAGTTTTATGCTTGAACGTGAGATAAACATATTGTGTATGATATTAACAAGCATTCACAGCATTCCATTGTTTCGAACATTCGACAATCGTTAAATCACAAACTTTATTACTAAAGTCAATTATGACTTAAGAGAATTGCATTAGGTTTTGCCATTTGCAACTTTACCTGAAAGTCGTAAAGAATCTATCTTTATAATTTTGTACGTAATTATTACAAAACTGTTATAAAATACTTGATTTACTTATCATTTACAATAGGTTTTGTTCAATGTAACTCCGTTATTGATATACTTTAATCAATTTCAATGTGACTCCATTGAAATTCATTAAAGTATCGACATCGTTGAAAGTACGTTAGAAATGTAGAGTGCATCCATCCTTTTGCTTAGAGTAGGAAGGAGTCAGAAAAACTGTTTCAACAGAGCCCCGAGCTACGTGCCGTCTGCGGACGAAAATGAACTGAAAGATTATCGCAGTGTGTGAAGGCGAGGTGCAAAGGCGAGCGACTGCAACTAAGGCGGCGTATCGAATGCGCGCCGAGCCCACCACGGACCTCGTCGAAAAGAAAGGACCGTATATTTGTTAAATAATGACGATAGTTGCACGTTACCGAGTGAAATGTTCGTAGGGATGGAGTGTTCTGACGAGATGAGCACTTTGGTATTTAAGAGCGGGTCGGCATGGCGAATGTCATCAGTTACCACAAGCTCCCACTCACAGTAACATCTCCAAAAAGCGAAGTTGTTCTAGTTGGTGCGACTGCAATTACTACAAGTAGGGTCCACACCCACGTAGAAGAAGCATAACCCAAGCACAATATGCGCGCTTTTGTGGTGAGTTCAGCTTGCGCTTGATTTTAAAAACTCGTCAAATGTAACCCATTTGTTTTTTCTATTTGGCACATGCGATTTTTTCTGCACATGATATAAGTACACGTTTCCAGGAATCAGGGTGTAAAGTGAAGTGTTCAGTGATTTCTCAGCGGACTGTCATACTGTGCCAAATAGTGCGGGAAAATATTTCCTCTCAGTGATTTGTGATAAAAGTGTTCGTCGTTCCCTTTTTTATATCACAGGAATGAGTTCATACTTTACGTTTCCTTATATAGACATATTTAAAATTCAACCTTGTTTTTAGTTCTTTGAATTATCATCGTTTTCATGACTGTTGAATGTTATTTAAATTAAATAAATCGACTGTATTTCCGATACAAATATTAAAAATCAATTTTCCATTATTCGAAATTACAATTGGATAATTCTCAGTAATAACTTTTATAATTCATCCAAAAAGTAAATTATATAAAAACCAATTTTAAAATAATACATCATATTTTCCTAGTTAAAAGTACTTTTATATCCTTAAAATAAATGTTATAACTACGTTTTTATTTCGAAACGAACAGGAAATTGTTCATTATTCAGATCGGGTACAATCTTCATTTTACTGAAACCATTAAACCATTTCATCACGATGTTACTTCGAAATGTCAATGAATATAGCCTCCTTATCAGTATTCAGTGTAACAACATTCTACCGTTTATTCACAACTTGCATAATCCAGACCATTTCAAATTGGTAACAACCGCGTACGGATTATCTAGTGTTACTCACCAATATCTTTCCTAATCTCTTTTCGTTGAATGAATCTGCATTAGTATTGTTTACGTGTTTATTTTACCTGTATTCGATGTACGGATAATAGTTGAAACTTTAAATGTATGCCAAATAGATGAAAATGATAAAGTAAAAGCTAAGCGAGTTGCAACTAAAGTTAAAACTAAAGAAATTAGCTGTGCATTGATATAAATTGGTATAACTCAAAATTTCGAATTATCTTTACAAATGTGATCTATATATTTTAAATTTTCGGTTAATCATGAGAAATTTATGGTAAAGGTTATTGAGGAAATTAATAATAAAATTATTGTTACAGGTACTCGCCTGTGTGGCGCTCGCCTACGGCCGTCCCGAGCCTCCAGTCGGCTACAGCTACTCCGCACCGTCAAGATATTCCACTCCATCCAGCAGCTATGGAGCCCCATCTTTGGGAGGAATTAGAGGAATCTCAGCTGGAGGACACTCCGGTGCTCTTTCAGGAGCATCTTCTCTTGGCTCAGCTGGACTTTCTCTCGGTGGACACTCTGGCGGAATATCATCCGGTTTTTCCTCTGGAGGCATTTCCTTTGGCGGAAGTAGCATTGGTGGAGGACTCTCATTGAGCGGCGACTCCGGTTTCAGTGGCGGATATGCTGGTGGTTACTCTGGTGCACCTCTCGTCCAAAAGCACATCTACGTTCACGTCCCACCCCCAGAACCCGTAGAACAGAGAATTCCCCGCATCCCAGCTGTTGCTCCCCCTCAGAAACACTACAAGATCATCTTCATCAAGGCCCCGACTCCTCCTACCCCAGTGGCGCCCATCATCCCCGTTCAGCCTCAAAATGAAGAAAAGACCCTTGTTTACGTTTTGGTGAAGAAGCCCGAAGAACAACCTGATATCATTATCCCGACCCCGGCTCCTACTCAGCCCTCAAAACCAGAGGTTTACTTCATCAAATACCAAACCCAAAAGGAAGGTGGTGCTATCGGAGGTGGTGCTATCGGAGGTGGTGCTCTTGGAGGTGGCGCTCTCGGCGGTGGTGCTCTTGGCGGTGGTTCTATCGGCGGAGGTGATCTTAGCGCCATTTCTCTCGGTGGATCTGGAATCGGAGGAATCGGAGGTGGTGTCGGCATCGGCGGCGGCTCTGGCCACGGTGGTGACATCGGTGCTGACTTCGGTACGAGCGGTGTTGAGGACAGCGGCTCAGACGGTGGTCACGGCGGCGCTACCAACACTCAATACGGTCCTCCCGGACACGTTGCTGGACCTCTTCATTAAATCCAAATTCCTCAAACATGCTTAAGTGGTAGAAAGAGGAACTAAAATATTTATTGCTAAGCGACCACATCGCTGAATGGTTCATCTTCGTTCTCGGCCATAGCGAGGGTAACTCGCGGGCTTCCATTTCTGCCAGCAACCGTCTGCGGTCGAATGCCTTGTAAATAGTCACCATCCGCATTCGCCTGCAGTCACCATCGTGATAATATTCGACTCTTTCCTCCCATCACCACTCATTGCTACTTGTTATTAGTGCACAGTGTTAATGTTGTTCGAAATGAGTATTTTACTGCGACTGTTATGTTTATGTATTATAGATAGCTTTTTATTTTTTTATAATAAAAACACAAATGTGATGCAATTATGATTTTTCGGTATACCCCACACATATTTCCTTAAGCGAACAATTATACTAAATCCGAAAGTAGATGTGAAAGGTTGCCTTGGCCGGTATGGCTGAGGGTGTTCGGTGATCCGTTCGAGACTCCTTTCTCCTTCGCGACCAGTATATCATAAGGTTTGATATAGAATCAAAATTATGTAGAATCGTATCGTAACAGCGCGCCGTTACGCAAGAAGGTCGCGATATGGCGAGTGGCGCGGACCGAGCGCCGCGTTTTTATTAATGGCCTCTAATGGATCAAGCGCATTATCATACTTTCTGCCAATAAAGTGGATAGAGTAATTATTACATAAAACTAAATATATTCTTATAAATTATATTATGAATGAACGCCATCTCACTAACCTGTTGATAACGTCTTTATTACTATTCCATTTGTTGAAAAATTTGATTATTAATTCACGTGAAAGCTGTTTGCTTTATACGTTATCAACTTTCGTTTTATTTGGTTCAGTTCCGCTTTGATTCGTTGCAATCTTGTTAGTAATAATGTGAATTCAACACTCAATTTAATTAACATGGTAAAACGCAGTGATATTACGGCAATGATCAGGTTGACAACAATCTTCAATGATTAATGTATTTAACGACAAGACGTAACGAGCGACTGTGTGCGACATTATTCTGAAAAGAGTATTTCCAAGACAAGAACAAATGTTATTGGCAGTTATATACTTGTTTTAACTATTATGAAAATAACGTCAATGGTGTTGACAGCATCTGTTATTGACAGAGTTGCAGAGAATTAGAGCGAGTGCACACACTTTGATTAAACTATCGCACAGATGTTGTGCGATTGTTCATTGTGTCGCAGCTAAAACCGATTAGTGTGCGAATCTCCATATAAGCTCATCGGAATTAAAGCGTGATTAAACACTTGTGCGATAATTTTGTCAAAGGTGTGCGCGCGCTCTTTTACTTATACGCAAGTACTTATTTTAAAACATCGTAAAGTATATTCATGAAATTATAAAATGCTTATTTTAGGAATATCATAATGTCCGCCAGCCTGGAACTACCACTCAATTCCTTTGCCATTTGTTTTTTTTATACTAACGTACTTAAAGATTTTAAAGACAAAAGTATATTATCTGTAATGCCAAATATTTTAAGTTGTACTATAAATGGTTAATTTTATAAGACAGGAGTGAACAGCGAAGACACAGGTGTGGTGTACAGCTGGGCCACCGAGTGACGCATCAAAGCACTCAAGTAAACGTGTCCTGGAATAACGTTATAATATATTATAGCTAAATGCTTTCAAAACGGTACTTATTATATTTTTTATCACGTTTTAAACATGTACAACTACAAGATATAGACTACTATACAACTAGATATCTACTATTTTCTATCTTTACTCGTAATTTAGTTTATCCTAATTTTTGCTAGTATTCGAACAAAATTCACTGTCATGAAAAAGTTATAGTTGGGTAATGAAAAATTAAACTAAGGCACGCGGACACCTAAAACTAAACTGTCGCACAACTGTTTAGTATAGCTTTGATTCCTATGTCCTTATATAGAGGTGAGCAGGCTCGATATTTAGTTGTGCAACTAAACAGTTGAATTGGCTGCGAAACAATCGACAGTCGCACAACAATTAAGCTAGTTTAGTCAGTTACACTAATACTGGCTATCTATTACACTCGTTATTGTGTAACGAAAATTTGAAATGTCTCTGCGATTTAAAAAAGGATTCGGGCAGTGTATTATTCGTACACCATCGCCGCTAGCCGGCAAAGACCATTAAAGTACTGGCAACTTGCCGAAATTTGTTGCGACAAATGCTTTGTACATTTTCACAAATATATCTACGTTTGTTTTCTTTTAGCACAACCAACACAGAAGGTTGTAACTCGCTTTTTGGGCTCAATTACTTTTGGTGTATTTCGAACTTTATCATAATCGTAAAATCAATACTATACACTATAAAATATAATTTCACTATAAAGTAAGATTTCATGAGTAATATTAGTTAGTGCCTTTTCATACAATAATTCATTCTAGGGAGCATTGTTTATATTTGGATAGAAATGGTAACATTAATATTAATAACAAATAAGATTTTTAAATGTATCAATTAAACAGATAGACATTTTTGTCATAAACTTTAAATTAAATGGTTCTATAAAAGTGTTTTTTGCGTTACGACTATTTGTTTGGGAACCGTTGCTTTATTCACATTTTTCTAGGGATTGGAGTTTGTAGATTTATTATACAGACAAAGTGGAGATATCCAACGACTATGCTATTTATAAATCTTTGGTTTTACTTAGATTTTTTATACATTATGTATTTCTCCTATATATTTTTAAAATACAAGGCAGATTTAGGTAAAACTTTTACCTCGAGGCTAATTATGACGTCAGTATATTTTTCATATCTTATTTCTATTACTGAAAATAAGAGATTTTTTAAAAAATAACGTAGGTTATAAAAGTTTATGGTAGTAGGTGCATTACTTTGGTTCATCGGCCGACATTAAATTGTAAATTCTTGTGACTGCACTTCGCTAGTATGACGCAATTTGTAATGGTGTGTAATAGCTCGCTTACCGACGCTAAATCGACTCTAATTACACTGTAATGTGGCCAAATCGTCCAAATGTGACGAGTTTTAGGTGTTTTTAACTCGTAATTGCAACGAATTAAAAATGTATTCCTTTTTCTGGTACTCTTCAGATGTTTTGGATATTAACGTTCTTTTAAAGTGAGTTTTCATTGCTGAATAACTTATTTATTTCATTTCCTTTTCCCAATCACAAGGCGGAGGTACAAATACTGACGAATGCTGGTTTTGGTGATACCAACGCCCTGGGCGAGATTTCTACTACGCTTTTTTTACTATGTCTGGAAGGGCGGGGGTGAACAGGGTAAAGTGAGACTATAGTGCTGACGTAGAAACGGGATGCATTAATTTTAAAAGTATAGACGCATGATTTTTTATTCTCTTATCACATTCCAAGATTGAAAACGAAATACACTTTAAAATCGGTCAAGCAGTTTACGCTAAAGGAGGTCACAATGGAACATACTCCATAAAAACCCGCCTGCTAATAATTGTGACTTGTCATTGGATTCCCATTGCGGGAGTGTTTTGGGAAAAGAGTCAGTCAAGGCTGTTGGTTTTTTTAAGCATTTTTTATTAATTAAAATTTATTAATGAATGTTCCCTTTTTATTTGGAACTTTTAATAATGTTGGATTTGTTAAAAGGTTGTGAAAATTCTTAGCAAAACGAACTGATACTTTAAATTTGATTTACTGGATAATGAACATTTCCTTGCATCCCGGAAAATCAGGTAAGAAGTTTCGCAAAGCGAATTTCTTTCACTTCCTTGTCGTACTTTCTTGTAATAAATGAATAAGATAACTTTCAGAGGTAAATTATATTTTTTTATTTAATATAAAAAAAAACTCAAATATTAATTGTATAACATCATTTTAAGGATGTACATTTTAATTTATACTTATAATAAAGAGGAAAGATTTGTATTTTTAGAGTTTTGTATGTACTGGACTGATTTAAAAAATCTTGCACTATTAAAAAGCTATGTTATTACCGTGTACATATAGGCAGATTTTTACTGTTTTTTTATTTAATATATTAAACATGGGCGAAGTCGATAGTAACAGCTAGCATTATAGTATAAAACGCGCATTATAGTTTTATAGTTTCGTTAGTTCTTTATACAAATGTTATATTAAGTTCAAATTCTAATTTTAACTACTAATAATAAATTTGCAACTTCATTTTCGTCACCTGATTTATCTCCGTACTGTCATAATTCCGTAAAGAAAAATTGAAACAGTTCCCTTGAGATGTAAAGCAGTGGATTTTCAAATCCATTCAATATTTTCACAAGAATATCGTAATCGAGATGTCACGTCCTTTCGTGCTCCTGGAACCAATTTAGAATTATGAATTGAGAGGGAGCGAAGGAGGTTGTTAAAGGGAACCCGATTCGCCGATCTCCTTTTCGCAAGGAAACGTGCTTTATGTTTGCGAAAATTATTTCTCGCTCACAAAAGGTTCGAAGTTGAAGAATACTTTCGTAGTAGTTTTTTTAACCTTGAAATATATCATAGACAGTATGGGAATTTAAAAGTAATAGGAAATGTGACGAAGTTTTAAACTAACAATATTGACACGTTCACTGCGGCAAGCAAAATCATGATTCTTCATCTCGTGTGGCGGCAAAATGCGCCCCCAATGATATTTCCGCCAGTGCGTGGCAGGTCTTTTTAGACCTACCAGCATTAGGATAGATACAATTGCTACATCTTTGTGGAAACATAATGTATACATTTTATGTAATGTAATGTATACATTTTGTGTAATGTAATGTATACACCTGATATAATCGTTTCGCTCTAGCGAGAGGGACAAAGTTTTCTTCGTCGGCACGAGTTTAAGTACCGCGGCAGGTCGATATCGGCCTGTTACGCAGTGAGTGTGTTAAGATGTGTTAGAAATTATACAAACCTACTAAAAATTAGGAAAGAGTACAGAATGGCTAAGGAAATAAAGCTATGGAAATTCGTAAATAAAATTACAGGCATACATTTAAATTTATAGGTATTCCGAAAGTTGAATTATTCCATTAATGGCAATCGTAATACAAGTTACGTACAAGTTGAGCTGAAGACGCCACTGCCTAATTAGTCTTCCTTACTTCGTTGATTTATGTAAAAAGATATTTATGTGATATATTTGAACGAAAATGAGTTAATGCTGATTGCTTTAACATATTACGTTAACTATATTTCATATCAAGATTGAGAAATTTCAACGTTTTAAGCAGATTATATAATATTGCAGATGATATTGAACATGTATCTTTAGGATAGGATAAAAATTCGAAATATTTTTGTTTTCCGTCCCATATACGTATAAGGAATTTGAAAAAAAAATGTCCAGATCTTTATTTTTTTTATTTACTAAAATCATGTAATA